ATAATGATTGTCTACAGCATTCCCGTCATTGTCCACGGATGCTTGAGGACGACCGATATGATGATTTCTCGGGATTCAAGTGACATTCCATCGAATTGGCAATACGATGTTGGCACTGTTGTTGCACACCCATGCGAAAGTATCGATTTTCAGGACGATGCAACACACATGTGTGTGCATGTTTGGCTGGGAATGAGAATGAGAATGCGAGTATGTAGGCATTGTTTTGATTTTCATTGAAATCTTCGATCTCGGAGATAGCACCCAAAAGTGCATTCAAATCGAAATGTGTGTGTGTGCATGTGTGTGTGTATGTGTTTATTTTAAATCGTTGGTGTTGTCGTTATGGACACACACACACTGCCGCACACAGTACTGCTTGAATTTGCACAGTTGCAGAGAACACTTTAAATTGTAACCTAATCTCTCAAGAAAATTTTGAAATTTAATTGCTGTGAATATCTGTTTGAATCTAAGAAATCTGTTATTGTTACGTTGCATAATCTTTGGCAGTTATTCTGCGTGGAGAAATCGCGGAAACCCCAGACGTAACGGTAGCATCAAAAAGGACAATGTCTTTCATTTTGTCATGGGGATATCTTCTTGTGTTCCATTCGTCTCCCTTGCCATAAGCCCATGGCAGGGGAATAGACGACAATGCCTGGGATTTGGGCTGAATGTTCAATGCAAATATTTGTATGTTTGTGTGTGTGAGTGATTGTTGTTTGCGCCCGAATGGGTGTTTATTGTCGTTTGTTCGACGGTAAGAAAGATGAAAACAGCGATTCGTTCTGAATATGCTGATTATTTGAAATGAGCTATCGACGAGGGCATGCTGCCCTCCGTTTGTTGGGGGCGGGGATGGACGAAAATGAATAGACGTTGCTTTCACAATCAACCGATTTGATTGATTTGTCATAGAATGCATTGTTCCCTGTTTTGGCGCTCTAATTGTGAGAGAGCATCGGAACAAAAGTATCCAAGAATTATGAAACGAATCCAACAACGAGAGCAAAAAACATGTAGGTCTATTTATTTAAATAAACATTCATTCTCGGGAAATTGTTGCAAGTTCTTTGCACAGTGTTTTGACTGCGACTATATAGATTTTCATTAGTAATAACATCAAACACTAATACAGTAGGACCGTGATTATCCAGAGATCGATGAGGTGAGGAAAATTAAACGCAGGTGATATCGTCAAATTGTTACTCGACATCAACATTTCTTCGACAAAAAACGTTAAATCCCAGCATTTTGTAATCAAATCGTGTTGGAATATCCACGATTTTCAAAATATTTTGGATGGAAATATATCCTTATAAACTGAATAAATTTGCAATAACGCCAACCAAAAATTGAATCGGTTCCCACCATAATGGGGATACATTAAAAATGCCGGCAAAATCACCATGTTGTGTCAATAAAATTTTCTCTTTCAACAAAGCAATTTAGGCTCATGTGTATTGGTCACCCGAATTATCCAATCTCCTATTCCGACTTAGAAAGGCATCGACGAAGCAAGACATTATACTTTGCTATTCGAAATTCCATTTCAAATTAACATTAGATACACATTTTTAATAGTCGGCCAGCCATAATAACTACAAGAAAACAGGAGGGTATGAGGGCATTAGTCCGCAGTCCATACTTAAGAATATGGAATTTGAGGATAAGCTGCTATTCCCAAAGGAACCTCTCACTTTTGTTTTTCTTTCACGAAAGCACAATTAAACCGAGCTCAAGTCCTTGACTATGAAACAAACAGACACATTTCTAAGCGATGTGAAACGGCTATAGGTGAGCACATGCATGTACACTGGTGGCCAAAACTAAAGCAACTTAAATCGCAAAGACAATAAATGTCCTGTAACTTTTACAAAAATGAACAAATCGTACTTCTTTTTCCAGTTTTAAATGAGGGGTTTAATTCACTTTCAAGAAACTAAAAATAAAAATACAAAAATAAGTTTGAACGAAAAATAATATGTGGAAAACTAAAATGACCCAATTTTTGCTTGGTCAAAACTAAAGCAACTTTTGATTTTTTATTTTAAAATAATTAAATTTTGGCTAGTAGTCGATAGCATAACCATTATTTTTGATAGCAGCTGCACACCTACGAGGCATTGAATCTATAACACGCTCAATTTGATCCTTGGGTGTGCCCAGACACCCCGAATTCTTTAGAAAATGTTGTGCTTATTTATTTCCGAATCTCTCTTGATCTTCCTATCTACGATACTCCAAAGGCTTTCTAAGGAGTTTAGGTCAGGTGATTGTGCCGGCCATAACAAAACATGAATTTTTGACTCCCGCAACCAATATTTGACAAGTTTTGATACAAGTTTGGGATCATTGTCATGCTGAAACACACAAATCAGCGCAATATTTTACTCAGCGTAAGGGAACAACGTGATGTCCAACACATGTTTGTAAACAAACCGATCCACAACTTCCTTTATTTTATGGATAGACCCAAGTCCATAGAAAGAAAAATAGCGCCACGCCATTTTTGACCCTCCCCCATGCTTCACCGTACCTTTGCAACACTGCGGCTTGAGTCCTTCATTTTTTGGTCTTCTCACCGTAAAATTTTTCACGTCTGAGCCTTTAATATTAAACGTAGACTCATCCCAGAAATAATGTTTTTTCCATTGAGCTTGATTCCACTTAATATTATCGTTTCCGAAAGCCTTTTTGATTTTTTCAGATATAAATGGTTTTTTGATGTCTTACGGGCACGCAGACCAGCTGCCACTACTCGTCTACGCACTGATCTCGAGCTTATATCCAATGATTGCTCTCTCACCAATCCTGTTGAACTCTGAAATAGTTGTTTTTTATTTCTCTCACAATTTGTGGATCAGTATGGGCTGAAGTTCTTCACGGCCTTCATCCGTTATGGACTGTTACTACTGATCCAGTTTCAAAAAACCGACTTAGTGCACAGACATAATTATGAAATCACATAAATATTTATGAAATATTTCTCGGAAATCATTTTCTGTGATATGTTGTTTTGATAATCACTGATAATTTGCTGTTTTATTCAGGTACAGTATTAGCTTCTAGCCATTTTAAAATTTTTTTGGCAGTACTTAAAAAACGAAAAGAAAAACACATACTGTTGTAAAAAACTTCTCAAAAAGGATTTATGACAAGCGAAATTGTCGAAGGAACCAAAAAGCGATAAATATCACAGTAAAAACCACTGAAATTGCAGCGGTTATATGAATGTACAACAGAGTTGCTTTTGTTTTGTCCAAGCCAAAATCGGGTTAATTGACTTTACCAAACATAATTTTTTATATAAAAATGAATTTTGGTTTTATGTTTTAGGTTTTAAAAAAGTGAATAAAGTACCTAATTTAAAACAAGAAAAACTTTCTCATTTTCTTAATTTTTGAAAAAGTTACAGGGCATTCATTCTCCTTGTAATTTCAGTTGCTTTAGTTTTGGCCACCAGTGTATGTATGAATGTATGTATGCATGTGCAGACAAACAAGCCATGGGTTCCGCTATTCATTATCCCGAGTAGGAAAGGTGTAAATGGGGTTGCTTTTGTTTTAAACGGAGTTGTTGCTGGTTTGTTTTTGTTGTTGCTAAAAGTTCATTACATGTGTAAAAATTGTGTGTATGTGTAGAGGCAGTTACGATTTGATGGGTTTGATAGGTGTGTATGTTGTTGTGATTTAATTTTGGTAAACATTAAGAGAATGTCGCTGGTGTCGGCGTCATATGTATGCGGGACGATGACAATACATACATACATACATATATACATAAGTACAAATGTATGTATGAAAGTATAGATGTGTGTCGCATCAATGACTGGGCTCTAAACAAAGACAAGGAGTGCCTTTCAAGTTGAACGCCTTTCAAGTTCGATTGTACCCCCAACCTGGTTACAATAGACAAAGGTGGATGTTATGTATGCTGGTGAACACACACACACACACACACTCACAAGCGTACACCTTGAATTCGCGGTTTGTTATATCGATGTATCCCGACAGTCTCTTAATTCACCTGTCCCATTCACATCAAAGCATGTTCACTTTGTAAAGATATGCGTGTGTATGTGCGAGAGAACCCACTTGGATTAACATTACATAATCATGCTTGCTGTATGGATTTGTATGTATGTCGTGTACGTGTACATGTGTGTGTGTGAGTGGGAGCTGAAATGTTTGTACACCGAGCATTGCCTCCGATATGGTGCTTCAAATAAAAATCAATATCGCCAAAAACTTATGTAAGTGACCTGTGGCAGACTCATTAAGACAACTCGCTACCTCTTTGGAAATTGTCCTGGCATTTGCTGCGACCAACAGCCATTGTTGTGGAGCATTAGCCGATGTTCAATATGACATATAGTTTGTGCCACATGCGCGGTGTCGGGTCGAAGAGCCGTATTTCGGCTGAGTCATAAACGGGCGTGCCCAATGCTCCACTTGCTCTCATTTTCCGGGCAACATGCTGACGCTAAGCGCTCTATTGTTTCGATCCGAACGGCTGAATGGCCATCCATTTCCGAGGAGGCAGCACCCTCGAAAAATGCAACGCCCGTATCATTTGTCTCGCTGTACAAACAACGCCCCCAAATTGGCCACAACGAGTGGCAACCAGCCAATCACAAGCACGGACATATATTTGTTTCGTTCCCACACACACACACTGCACACACTTCAAACAGCGGGGAGCACGAGCAGGCAGCCAACCTGCTTTCTTGTCTGCTGAAGCACGCACAACACACAACCAGCCAAGGGTAACTTTTGTGAGCACGCCAGGGCATTGTTTGTGTGCGCTCGAACTGCATGTGCGCCTCGATTGCAACGCCATGCAAGCACTGAGTGCCACTCTGCACTCTGGACATGCCCATGTCTTAAATGTGCGTCGACTGTCTAGCGAATGCTCCAATTTACATGTGTCTCCGTTGATATGTCTCCTCTCCGCAGGCGATTGGTTCTGATTCTTTTCTCTCGTACTCGGCCCTCGTTTTATTTGACGACTACCGTTTCTTCAGCAGAGATCACAATCTCATCTCAGCTGAACTCAGCTCCACCATCATTTGCTTATGTCTTGGGGGCCACTGCGGGGCTAGCGACGTTCATCCATAGCCTGCTTGGTCTCACGCCATTTTCGTGAAGAGCTACACAACACACATTGGCCAGCCGCCAACAACAAATACCTTCATATGTATGTTCAGCACTCACACGAACGGGCACGTTCAGATCCACCAGTATGCAGAGTTGTTTACAGCAAAGTTTGCATATTTTCTTAGTATCGTCGGAAATCGCGCGCGTTTAGACGCACTATCAACTTTGATCGCTTAATTCGTGTCGTTTGAGGGCATCGCTAGCTGTGCAAGCGGTTCTTCATCCAAATAGAATTACTTTAAAAGTCAATACTTTGTGGTGTTCAAGGGAATTGTGTACACCACCCCACTCTACTCCTCGGAACAGATGGAAAACGCCGAATTACGCGATTGATTCCATTACATACACAAATCCAATAAATAACCGTGTCCGCTGGTTGTGAGTGATCGGTTTGACGGTGAATGTGTCAATAATGTCGCCGACGGCATACCTTTGAGGCAATAGTTCCCTCGAAATGTTAGCAATTTGATCAAGTGACAACAAATATCAAGATTTCCGCCCAATCCAATGAAAAATTAAAAAAAAAAAAAAAAAGGCTATTCAAGTTCAACACCTTGAAGCTATCAACTGAGAAAAAGCTTTTCGAAATTAAAAAAAAAAAAAATTACAGACATAGAATTTTCACTCTTAAATTACAACGGAGCTATAATATTGATTTCAACGCTTAACATATCCATCCTCTGGTGCGACTACCTCTGGCGATGTCACTCAATCTGTCGTGAGTATTGATGACAAATATATTAAAGTTTCATCGGCTGGTTCCTCTTTAGCCAATTAAATGACAATCACCACCCAGAACCTGAAGGTACACATCGCAATGAGACGGGGATTAAACAAATGGTTTAATAGGTCAAATCTGAATCCTAATTTAAAAGCGAATAAATCTTCAAGACAACAGATTTATTTGGTTTACAGCGGGAGGTATACTTCTGATTGGTTTACTCGCGAAATGGGGGATAAAAATAATAGCGACATAAGGCCATACACGTTATATTGGGAATTACACGTAACATTGCAGATGCAATATCCACATCGCCATATTGGTCAAAATTTCTTCTTAATTTAACTAATAAACAATCCATTACCAATTCTGCATATCGAATTTCTTGAATAAATGAAAATACTCTGATTTTAGAATGTATTATTAAATGTGAACAATTCTCGAACATAAACGCAGGAGTGGGATCTTTAACTCATCGGTAAAATTAAGACACAAACTTATTAATAACAAGTTAAAAAGCAGTAAGTTCGACCGGGCCGAACTTTGAATACACTCCACCATTTGGAACGAATTTGGAAACTTTCAAAAAATAAAATCCGTTAAAATCTTAAAAATACTGAATATAGCAGTTATATTGGGGTCTATACGACATGGACCTACATAGACATTGTTTTTTATAAGCCATTACCATATTCAAATTCGAAACTTAAAAAAAAAAAAACGGTGAATAAAGTAGCTAAAATCATCAAAATAGCGTATATAGGGAGGTACCGTTATATGGGGGCTATACGAAGACGTGGACCTGCATAGACAATTTTCTGTTACAGGCTGTAGCATCCATTACGAACTTCAAATACGACATTTCAAACAATTTGGGTGAATATTGTACCTAAAATCGGCAAAATACCGAATATAGGGAGGTAGTGATATATGGGGCCTATACGAAGACCTGGACTTGTATAGACAATTTTCTGTCACAGACTGTAGTTCCCATTACGAACTCTAAATACGTAATTTGAAACTACTCAATACCGATACCGAATATCGGGAGGTACCGTTTATGGGGGCTATACGGAGACGTGGGCCTGCACAGACAATTTTCTGTCTTAAGCTGTAGTATCCATCACGAACTTCAAATAACAAATTTGAAACAATTCCGGTGAATAATGTCGCTAAAATCATCAAAATACCGAATATCCGGAGGTATCGTTATAGGGGGGTTATACGAAGACGTGGACCTGCACAGACAATTTTCTGTCTTTGGTTGTAGTATCCATTACGAACTTCAAATCACAAATTTGAAACAATTCCGGTGAATAATGTCGCTAAAATAGTAAAAATAGCCCATTTTCAATGCCAAAAGTCCTACAGACATAAAATACATTTGAGTAAAATTTTATCAATCTACTTCAATTCGTTCGGAAGCTAGAGTGATTTCCACAGACAGACAGACGGACGGACATCGCTAAATCGACATAGAATTTTATGCTGATGTATATATTCTTATATACTTTGTAGGATCTAAAATGTATATTTCGAGGTGTTACAAACGGAATGACAAACTTAATATACCCTCCATACTACGGTGGAGGGTATAAAAATTCTAAATTAAAGTTGGTAGCACTGTTGCTATAGGCAAGACTTAGCGACTATTTTATTTTGATGCAATCTAGTCGAAAAATGTCTTTATTTACGGAAATTATAGTCATTTTAAGTTTGCCGATTTTTGTCGGTAACTCAAGAAATAAGTTAGGGAATCCCACTCTCTTGGTGGCCACTGTGCATTCTTCATAACTTTCCAAAAGGTGCCACAAATGTTTTGTATGTAAAATCTCTAGTTGAATATGTGTAGGATGTTACCAATAAGTGACCTTAAGTAGTATTGGGGTCTTTTAGATCTGTGTGTAATGTGATACTTTTTTTACCTATGAAGTAGCTTGTAGCTTCTCTTAACACTTATTGGAGAACTATCAAGTGTATATAGTGTAAATGTATTTGTCTATCTAGCCATATGTGACTGTTGTGATCCATAGGACAATTGAGGTGAAGACAAATATTGTCTAGTGTCAGTCTGTTCAAATTATGTTGTAGTAGCCCATGTTATGACAGCAAACTTATTTTTCTACAATTTGCAAGTCAAATGACAGACAAGCAAAACTTTTGGTCTTTGTACGTAGGTGAACTAAACGAGCTTTTTTCTATAGGCAAATTTTGGTTTCGTTCAAGTTAGGCAATCAAAAAATATCATTCGTTCATTCACAACACTTAAACACATATATTATCCTGTGTCTAAACTCTAACCCCACAGAAAAATCTGCGTCGATTGTCCTGTAGAGAGACGTCCAAATCTAAAAAAAACTGTCTTTGGTCCATCTCAATCACTAAAGGCTTCTATTCTGACCCTTACTTAGGGCAGGTTTGGGTCATAACTGTGACATGTAGTAATTATAAATTAAAAAGGACACACATAGATGATTCGATTCAGTTCGGCGAGATAGGTAGATCCTTATGTAAAATTGTGGGTCTTGAACCAATATTTCGAGGTGTTACTTTTGATGTTGGGTAAAAAACAACTTGTAGTAATGCACTTACCTATTTCCTGGAAGTTCCAAATCGTATGTGGATTAGGTTGATATTTCCGTCAAACTCATTCACACTTTTTTTGTTTAAAATCCAAAACCAACAGAGGCAATCATTTCTAGAAATATAAGCAAATTTTTATTTTTGAAACATAAACCAATTTTCGACAGAAGGGCAACAGGTAAAAGGAGCTTTCACTTCAAGACGAAAAAAGTAAAGGAACTCAAATAAAAACTTGATTGTCTGGATAGCAATTGCTTGTCTGCCTTGAACAAGAGTTCTGTTGCATTTTACAATCTATGCCCGTGAAGATAAATTGTAAAATATAAATGCAATGTGTTGGTGCGCAAGGGGTTAATTGAAAAATAGTTTTTTTTAATATTAATGATTTTTACCATTTTTTTGGATAAATCAACGTATTTTTAAATTAATTTAAATTAAATTAATTAATTAAATTAATTTAACAGGAAAATGACACAATTTCCCGACGAGGACGAATAACCAGAGTGGCGGTTTCGGTAGGGAAACTGCATGGAAAATGCTGAATTGCACAAAAACTATGCTAGCTGCGTCATTGAGGCGGGTCTTAAATGAAAGGTCTCGAGGAGTACTTTCTGGCTATATAAGCCTTATATTCCCAACTGATTTCAGATAATCGAATTTTTTCGATTTTCTAACCAAAGTGGCGGTTTCGGTAGGGAAACTGCATGGAAAATGCTGAATTGCACAAAAACTATGCTAGCTGCGTCATTGAGGCGGGTCTTAAATGAAAGGTCTCGAGGAGTACTTTCTGGCTATATATGCCTTATATTCCCAACTGATTTCAGATAATCGAATTTTTTCGATTTTCTAACCAAAGTGGCGGTTTCGGTAGGGAAACTGCATGGAAAATGCTGAATTGCACAAAAACTATGCTAGCTGCGTCATTGAGGCGGGTCTTAAATGAAAGGTCTCGAGGAGTACTTTCTGGCTATATATGCCTTATATTCCCAACTGATTTCAGATAATCGAATTTTTTCGATTTTCTAACCAAAGTGGCGGTTTCGGTAGGGAAACTGCATGGAAAATGCTGAATTGCACAAAAACTATGCTAGCTGCGTCATTGAGGCGGGTCTTAAATGAAAGGTCTCGAGGAGTACTTTCTGGCTATATATGCCTTATATTCCCAACTGATTTCAGATAATCGAATTTTTTCGATTTTCTAACCAAAGTGGCGGTTTCGGTAGGGAAACTAACACTTCGGTAGGGAAACTAACTAACACTTTGGTTAGAAAATCGAAAAAATTCGATTATCTGAAATCAGTTGGGAATATAAGGCATATATAGCCAGAAAGTACTCCTCGAGACCTTTCATTTAAGACCCGCCTCAATGACGCAGCTAGCATAGTTTTTGTGCAATTCAGCATTTTCCATGCAGTTTCCCTACCGAAACCGCCACTTTGGTTAGAAAATCGAAAAAATTCGATTATCTGAAATCAGTTGGGAATATAAGGCATATATAGCCAGAAAGTACTCCTCGAGACCTTTCATTTAAGACCCGCCTCAATGACGCAGCTAGCATAGTTTTTGTGCAATTCAGCATTTTCCATGCAGTTTCCCTACCGAAACCGCCACTTTGGTTAGAAAATCGAAAAAATTCGATTATCTGAAATCAGTTGGGAATATAAGGCATATATAGCCAGAAAGTACTCCTCGAGACCTTTCATTTAAGACCCGCCTCAATGACGCAGCTAGCATAGTTTTTGTGTAATTCAGCATTTTCCATGCAGTTTCCCTACCGCCAACACCACTCCGGTTATTCGTCCTCGTCGGGAAATTGTGTCATTTTCCTGTTAAATTAATTTAATTAATTTATTTAATTTAAATTAATTTAAAAATACGTTGATTTATCCAAAAAAAATGGTAAAAATCATTAATATTAAAAAAAAACTATTTTTCAATTAACCCCTTGCGCACCAACACATTGCATTTATATTTTAAAATTTATCTTCACGGGCATTTACAATCTTACATTTACGTCCTCCGCGACTTGAATACACTAAATCAGAATTTTTAAAAATTTGGCAGATTTAAAGAAGAATATATAAAAAGCTGTGGTTGTTCCACATACCTTGATGCGACTGTGTTTTTGTTTTCCTTAATGTGCTGCATTATAACTGTTACAAGAGCCTTATCTCTACAGAGGGTAGAGATCATTTGCTGTGAAGGAAAGAAGGTTAACTCGTTCCGGCCTAGCCTACAAAAGTATCTAATTTTGGATTTTCATAACTCTTCTAAATGCGAAATAATTTCCTGATTTCCTTAAAACTTCGCAGGTGTGAAGAAGGGAAATGTGGGTCCGCTTCTGCTGGTACCTCCACACAAACTATTAACATTTTCCCAATTGTTACATATCTCTTTTTTACGAGTTATCCGAC